GGAAATGACCTTTTGTTTTTGTAATCCGGAAGCAAAATTGCAAGGAAGCAATTAATTCCCTGGTGTATCAATATCTGTGGTACTGATTTTTTGCTATGTTCTAAGAGGAGGCAGAGGAAAAGGCAGCACTACCATGGGCAGAGAGTGGGTCTTCCCTGAGGTTAGAACATGTGCACAGTCAAAAAGGACAAGGTAGGATATCATTGATGAGAAAGGCTGACCGGGGAGACAATCTTTGTGCAAACGGGGGAACTTATTAGAGGGGGGAACGCCTTCCTCTCTGAGCCTCAGTCTCTTGGACCCGCACTCAGAAGCCTCTTGGTTACACCAGATGACCCTCTCTGCTAACGTGAGTCAGGAACACCAATTATTTAGCCCCCCTATGTAAAAATCTTAGTGGGATAGATCCCCACTACCTGGACCATACACTCCAGGCTTCCTAGTATTGCATACAACCGTGTTCTCATGCCTTATCACCAATTACGATTTGGTTTGCCGATGCTTTGCCTCTAGGGAAAAAAATGGTGCCTGTTCTGTCCTGTACCTGTTCTATTATTCTCATAATCTACTCACAGAGAAAAGAAAATCTTTCTGACATGGGCTCCTACACCTTCCCACCTACAACCTCCAAAAGCATAGACACCTATACTCATCTCCTCCTTTTCTCTCTGCATAATGGAAGATACGTCCTGATGTACGTCTTTCTTAACTTCTCAGAAATATCACTCAGCCAACCACCTCACTCCTGAATCTTGACATCTTCCTCCTTCCTAGCTCCTTTTTTTCAAAATTAAAGTAACTTGCTTCAGTCTCTCCATGGTTTAAAAAAAAAAAAATGTATCTTGACCTCTCCTCATTCAGCTGCTGTGTGTTACCCTCCTTGTAACAACTAGACTGTGTCATCTGTTTCTGTACCGTCCACAACCTCCTTGGATCTCTCAGTCTGATTTCTGCACCTCTCAGCCTGCGGTGTAACTGTTCTTGCCAAGAACAGAGGCTTTCTTGTTGCTACATCCAGCCAATGCTTCCCAGTCTCTTTCCTACTTGGCTTCTTAGCAGCATTCGACACTGTCCACAAGTCCTTCTTGGGACACACATACTCTCCTCTGGCTTCTTGGCTTAGTGGTTCCTTATGTCACAACTTTTTCTCATTCTCCTTAGTACAACTGTCCCCCACTTCTGCCCCCTTGAATGCTGACATTCCTCAGTGTCGTGTCTAGGCTCTCTTTTCTTATTCTACCTTCTCTACTTGGGGAATTTCATCACTTCCAAGGTGCCCATGAGTAACTGAAGACGCTAATGACTTTTCATATCTGTTTCTCCAACCTACCTCTCCTCCCTGAGACAACACAGTTCTGCCCTAATTGTCAGCCTCAGCTTTTAAGGCTCAGAAACTTGGTCTACCTGCTTTTTAAAGTGGCTTTTTCTCAGAGGAAATTAAGTTATAATCGTCACATAGTAAAGATGCCAAAAATGTTAGGAGCTATTGTCATTGCACTGATATTATCAGTGGTATCGTTAGCATATTCATCACAAATGTTTTTAGCGTGCAAGTGATTTTTAAACAATAAATCAAGCCCATTCTGAAAGGGGCAGAGGGACCAAAAACAAAATGGCTCGTCATGCTTGACTGCAATAACCTACAAACAAGGGAACACGTCTCCATTATTCTGTCCTATTTGAAGGGAAAGATGTCATATTGTACAACCTCGGTGTAGAGTGTGTTTCTGGACTTCAATTCACAGGCAGAATAAAACTAAAAATCAAGGCCAATCAAATGTTATCCAAAGTAACTGAACCTTGTCTCCTTTTAACTAAGGCCAGGCTCAACTCTGACTTCCCATGCGACCCCCTGACTTGGGAAAGTATGTTGGCTTAATGAACATTTCCTGCAAAGAAGGAAGAGGCAATTATCGTATGCTTCAGGGTAAAAAAAGAAAAAAAAAAAAAAGCCACTTCCATTTAAAGTGTCTTTCCTCAAAATCTTCCTCGCTCCTCAGTAGCTGAATTCTCCCTTCTTACCATGCTCACTTCACCAGACTCCCTTCCCACAGCTCCTGGTCTCGCTCTCTCTTCCCTGTAAATGGTTAGTAGGCAACTCAACATGCATACAACTTTGGTTGCTAGAGCTCTGCTTTGTTTCGCCTTACATATAACTATTACTACCTGCATGATTTCCCTCTCGGCCTAGGTAAACCCTGCTTGTGAGTGTTCCTCCCACCAAGCTCCAAATTTTGAGTGGGTTCTTCTGCTGTAGATATCAACCCCCACATCCACCCCCGATCTCATGAACTTGTCTCTCTTCCTGGGTATCATTTCCAAGGAAACAAAAGCAGCTGTAGCCATTGCTGTGATTCATTGTGAAGCCTCCGACTGCCCTCTTCCCCAACCTCTTCAGCACTTGGTGATTTGGAAATTGGGGGGGGTCACACTTCCTGCTCTACTGCCCTAGATATTTACAGAAGCATTCAGAGCAGCATGACTCTGGCCCTACAGTACCTGCCTTTGAACCCTACCTTCACCGTTACTAGCTGCCTGCTCTTAGGTAGATTACCTAGCCTTTCTATGCCCCAATTTCCTAATCTACAACACTGGGGAAGTACTAGTACCTTCCTCCCAGGGTCACTGTCAAGGTTAAATGAGATAAACCAAATAGATCGAGCACTTCTGATGCTAACTGGTTCATATACAGCCCTTAAGGAGTGTTATTATTATCCCTCTCCTACCAAATTCTGCTTCATCATAACATTGCATCCTTAAAACCCCACTGCCTAAACAATCCATACAGTATCTTTTGTCTATAGTACACACACGGTCAACATTATTCAATTTTAATAGCTAATAAATTGCAAAGGGAAGTATCTCACAACATATCAAAGTCTTCAGAGAAAGGAAAACTCCTAATGCTTTAAAATGATGCATCCATACAATGCTCTTGAAGCAGCTGGGGTCAGTTGTAGGTAGTACAACCAACTTAATCCTAGGAGTAGGGAGAGTCTAGCCCTTAACAGTCCACACAGTGCTTTTAAGTGCCTGAGCAATTTCTATCCTGCTGACAGCACTGTAAAGGGACATTATTACCCCAACACTACAGATGTAGGAACAGAGGCCTACAGAGGCTCGGGAATTTGCAGAGGAGACACTAATCACACTAGCAGGACAGAGCCAAATTGGAATCCAGATCTTCTGACCCTATGTTCTTCTGATTCCCAAATGTTCTTGCTACTTGACCATGCTGAGAAATAGGCCCCATTTTACTGTAACTAAAACAGATGATTAGATCTAATGTCAAGAATAATTCTGTTGGGGCGCCTGGGTGGCTCAGTCGGTTGAGCGTCTGACTGCAGCTCAGGTCACGATCTCGCAGTCTGTGAGTTCGAGCCCCAGCGTCCAGCTCTGTGCTGACAGCTCGGAACCTGGAGCCTGCTTCGGATTCTGTGTCTCCCTTTCTCTCTGCTCCTCCCCCGCTCATGCTCTCTCTCTCCCTCTCTCTCTCTCTCTCTCTCTCTGTCAAAAATAAATATTAAAAAAAAAGAAGAAGAAGAATTCTGTTAATCATTGGAAAGCCATTGAGCAACCCTTGGATGAGGGTAACGCTAAAGAAAAATAGATCTTTGCCCTTTAGTAGATTAGTTTGTAATAAAGGGGACATGGCTATGAGAAGGAAAGACCCAGGAACTCTTACAAAGCAACATACAATCTCTTCCGAATTTTAATGTCCCTGGATGATTTCAAATCAATTAAATATCATAGTTTACCAGGTAACATTTGTTTTCTTTCTTGGTGGCACATAAAATAACAGTGCCTCATAATCAGTGTCATCAAGTAATTAAAATAATTAAATAGTCATTTATTTTATAGTAGTCAACAAATATTAGTCGAAAGTAAATCTTGTTTATACACAATAAAGTTAACATATGTTACCACAAAACTGGAGGCCATTAGCATCACCATTATTGATCACCACTATCTGGCTCAGGTTCAAGGTCCTCTCTGTCAAGATGCAGGCACAGCAGGAAGTCCTTCAAGATTAGGGCAGAGCGGCCTGCACAAATGAGGCTAACAATTAGGTTAACAACTCCAGATGACAATGATTACCAGTGAGTTAAAGGTGCATTTAAATCCCTCATATGGACAGAACACTTTGAATAAACAAAATGGTGGGTGAGTTCAGACAGAAGGACCGCAGGGTGTTTCCAGGGACACAATGAACGTTGTACTGTCAGAGAATGTTGACACCATGCATATTGACAGCATGCTCAGGGATTCAAATCCTGGCTAAGCTGCACACTGGTTTTTCATCTTAGGAAAGTCAATTATTCTGAGTATCGAGTTCCTCCTTTGTAAAATGGCTATAAAATATGCATGTTTAGTGGTGAGAGGAGGTGATATTTGTAAAATGCTTGTCAGGGGGAACAGGCACTCAACAAATGATAATAACATTGGTTAGAAGGTTTTGAATAGAAGGGATGAATGAGCAAAGCCACGATTTGAGAAATTAACGTGGAATTTGTGATTAAAACTGGTTGCAGGAAAGAAAGTGGTAAGGAGAAAACTAGTTAAGATGCTTTTTCAATCGTCCAGATGAGAGGTAACGGGGTGGAGTGGGGGGACACACTAGGATATCTGTAGGTGGAGATGCCGCCATCAGCTGTCTCCAGGGGTCAGGAGCTACAGAGACTTTGAACCTTGTCTACTCAGTCCCTGCGGGGGGCAGAGCCTTAAGAGTGGAGCACCAAAAAAGCCCGAGAGGAATCAGAGGCTTGGAAGTTTGGTGTCCAGGTACCTGAGAGCAGAAGCAGCCGTGGACAGAGTGGAGGGCGGCGGGATGTAGGAAGTTCTCCGTTACCGTTGCCTAAATCCCTAACGCGGGAGAATCTGTTTCCAGGCCCCCCAGAACAGTCGCACTCAGTGGAGGAGGCGGGGCCGGCGGAGGCGGAGCGCGGCCCCTCCTCCGCCGCTCCCGCCGTGCCCCGCCCAGCCCGCCTTCGAGCGCCACTCCGCGGGGCGGAGCCCCAGCAGCCCAGCCCGCGGCCTGCGGCCCCGCTCGCCCTATCCACCCTTGCAACCCCGGGTCCGCAGGTGCGTCCGGAGCGCCGCAGCCGCACCATGTTGGGCATGATCAAGAACTCGCTGTTCGGGAGCGTAGAGACGTGGCCTTGGCAGGTCCTGAGCAAAGGGGGCAAGGTAGGCCCGCAGGGCTGCCGAGGACCTGAAACGGGGCGGCACCTCCCACCGCACCCTGATCGGAGGGGGGGCGGGGGCGGGTTCTGACGCGCTGGTGGGACAGCGCTGTGCTCCGGAATGTGCGTTTTGGCGCCTACCGGGGGCGCGGCCCCCCAGTGCCCAGCACGTGAATTGGGAAGGAGGAAGTAAGGGAAGTCCAGCACAGCAGGCCTAGGGCTCTGCTGGGAGGAGGGGTGACAAAAAGGAGAGGTTGCTTTGGGGGAGGGGTACCCCGTGGCGATAGAACTGCGCCTGTTGAATGCATTCCTTCGTTTAAACATCCCAAGCATTCTGCTCTTTTGCTTCCTGGGAGACCTTCGGTTGCAGAAAGACCAGAAACATGCTTGTCCTTAAGAAACTCCCAACTCCTGGAGGACTGAGTATAAAGGAACAAGATCTGTTCTCCACAGAGGCACAGGGGCAGGAACAAACCATTCTGCGAGGGGCTGATGAGGGAGCCTGCCCTGAGGAGGTGTCTTCGGCTGGGCCTCAGGGAGGTTAGAAGTGCACAGAAAAGGAGAGAGCAGGTGCAAAGGCCCAGAGCTGTGAAATGGTATGTTGGCCAGTGGGACTCCCAGAGTTGGGTCCTAGAATACAGGTTGGGTGAAGAGGGCGTAACTGCTGTCTCCCCCCAAATTTACATCAGTGCTAACACAAGCAAATGGGACTGCTCCCTGAAGACAGAGTCCCCCACTAGATCATAGTCTCCTTGCAGACAAGTACTTTGTGCACTTTGTAGACTCAGCTCCCAGCTTCGCATCTCCTATGTTAAAGGACTGTGTTGTCTGGCGGCCAAGTTCTGGTACCTGCTACAGTGATGGTCACAAAAGCCCTCAACTAGACTCTAGTCTGCACTCTTCAAGCAACTATAACCAGAGGCCTGTCCCTTCATCTGTCTGTCTCTCCGTTTCCTCGGCAGCACATAGAATGATCAAGGTTAGCCCAGATCAAGGGTGACATAGTCAGATGCCCACAAGCATCCAAGCAGGTAAGGGGAATGACGCTAGCCGTGTTAGGTGCTAGGGCAAGGTGGGGTCTGAGGCAAATCAGAGAGAACTCAGGGCCCCCTCTACAAAGGCAGTGATGTGGCGTCACAGAGACGTAAACCAGAGTTGCCAGATTTTTAAGGAAGACCAGAAATCCAGATTCTTCGTGTGAACTCTCCCAAGTTAAAATTAATTTATTCGACAAGGAACTACTTGTCGAGTGCCATCTGTGTGCCAGTCCGTCTTACAGGCCGTGGAGATAGAGCAGTGAACAAAACCAAAAAAATTCCATGTCCTCATGGGGCTTACATCTGAGTGGTTAGTGAACAAAAAAACAGGTCAAACATCATTATCAGATGGTGATCAGGGCTGTGAAGAAAAACAAGCAGGGGAGAGAGGAAGGAACAGGGAATTTTAGGAGTGAGGCTGTGCAAATATGTCGGTTTTAACTGTGGATAGCTGCCTACGAATGTTTGTAAACTGCAGGCCATGGGATCTGTCTGTGCCTAGACCAGGCCTGTGTGCCTGCCAGTCTGTGGACTCAGCCCAGGGATGTCTACGGTGCTTTTTGGCCCTAACACTTATAGAATCCACATGTTACCAACAAGTTCCAGAAAGCTTTCCTTTCTATAGTGGAATCCAGCTTACTTGGTCTGTTTAGGTTAAGAGACAATTGCAAATTCAGGTCTGAGTTGGTCTGCTGCCTGTTTGCCCTCAGATCCCTTCCTCATCCACTCCCTGCTTTGCTCTCTGGGTCTCTGTGTGGAGTGGGGGCTGATCCCAGTTGCCTATTTCCCAGGCTCCGATGTCAGGCACCTGGCAGTGAGGTTCACCCAGTGGGAGGCACTACTGGGAGATAAGAGGGTGGGAAGAAGGGAAGAAGGTGTTTCTCCAAACTATCAGGTCTCTGGCACCAAGAGTTTCTCTGTGGATCCAGGTCTTTCTAGACGGGCCACCATGGTTCTAGCTTCCATCATGATCCAGGTGTCTGAGCTCAGGTAGCATAATCCTCCCTCTACCCCTCCTAAGGTGTTCACTCACCTGTGGGTTGCCTCGCTGCTCCCTGTGGGGCATCTCCGCTCTTCTATTATTTATGAAATTAGTTCCTTGAATCAAGATGCCTCTGTTCAAAATACTCTGGTAGCTTCTGTTTCCCTTATGGATACAGTGTCACCTGCCACTGATTTGGTGCCTCTAAGGACAAATACAACTCCCTGATAAACATCTTCCCTCAACATTTGATGGGAGTATGGTGCTCTCTGGGATGTTGCTATCAGGCGGGTGCAAATCATTTAACCTGACCGACCTCAGTTTCAGCAGCTGTAGAATGGATATAAAAATATCTTTCCCAACTGCTCCCAGTGTTAGCATACATATTAATTTTTTAAAAGGCATGAAAATGCGGGGTGCCTGGATGGCTCAGTCAGGTAAGCGTTCTGACTCTTCATTTCAGCTCAGGTCACGATCTTGGGGTGGTGAGATTGAGTTCTGCATGGGCCTCTGCACTGAGTAAGGAGCTTCCTTGGGATTCTCTCTCTACGTCCCTCTGCCCTTTCTCCACTTTGTGCTCTCTTTCCCTCAAAATAAATAAACATTTAAAATGTTTACCCCCTTCAAATGTGGTAATATCATCATGTCACAACTCAGCTCTGTTCTTACTGGCTGTGTGGTCACAGGCAACTTACTTAACTTCTCTGAAGTAAGCATGAGAGGAAATAATTTGTATCTTATAAGGTTGTTTGGAAGCTTAAATGAGATAACCAGTTCAAAGTTGTTCAACAAAATACCTAACACTTGGTTGGGTGTGGTGTTAGTATCCCTTTAGTTTCACAGGTAATTTTGGGTAAACTTCTTGACCTCCTAACCACTCTGAACCCTGAAATTCCTCAACTGTAATACAAGAATCACCATGCCTATGTGACAGTTACTTAAATATTCAAAGGTACTTACAAGCCTTTTTAAATATATATATATATGTGTGTATATATATATGTGTATATATATATATATATATATATATA